CCTGCGTCACTGCCCGAGCCCGAGCCCCCCCATGGCTTTGCTCCGCGTCTTCCTGGTCTGCAGACCAGGGAGACGTGGAGAAAGCCCCGGAGTACACGGGCGGTAGGACCGCGAGGTCCCGCAGTCCGTGTCCTCCGGGGCAAGCCCTGTTCGTAACTGCGGATCCGACGTAAGTCGGATCCGCGTAAGTCGGGGACTGCCTGTAGTCCACAATTTTTCTCTTCTAATTTACAAGTGGGTAAAGAGCATCAAGCTTCTAGCTTCTTCGCTGAAAAAGCACTTTTGTCCTGTATTGTTTGTTCAAACATAGATGTTGCAGTTCTTTTATTTATATTAAAGTGCCTATGTATGTAACTATGATGGTTCTTTACTGAACTATGCTCCCTAAGATCCTGAGTGTGTTCTTCCATCTGTGCTCATTTTAAAGTGTCAAAATGAAGTTGTTGCTACTTTTTTTTCTCCTGATAGTCCAGTGGAGCCAACATTGCTATGGTGGAGCATGTTGGGTTCTCTTTTTGTGCAGCCCCAGCAGACTTGTTTATTAAATTCCAGTCATCTACTGTGCACCTGTGCATTATAAGAACATAAGAACGGCCGTACTGGGTCAAACCAAAGGTCCATTTAGCCCAGTAGCCTGTCTGCCGACAGTGGTCAGCACCAGGTACCCCAGAGAGGGTGGACCGAAGACAGTGATCAAGCGATTTGTCTCCTGCCATCCTTCTCCAGCCTCTGACAAACGGAGGCCAAGGACAGCATTTCTATCTCCTGGCTAATAGCCTTTTATGGACCTATCAGAGTATATCTGTTCTCCATATTGTGCCATGGAAGTTCCGGGGGAAATAATAATGGTGAGTTGTCAGTAGTTTGTCTTGCATATACAATTAATAGAAATGGGGCATACATTTGAACAAATACATTATTATATTAAAGGTTCTTCTTAATCAATATCTTCTATAACTATTGGTTGATATCTAATAAGGAGCAGGGACAAAAATGACTGAAATGATAATTTGGATGATAAACCAAATATCACATACCCAGTCTGACATGAAAAGTTAATCACAACACAACTAGTCAGCCTGTGCATACTACAGAAAGCACCAGAAAGTAAATTGAAAGCTGGTTTGAAAATGTTTTAAGCTACTATGCAATGTAATTCTTCTTTAGATTATATTCAATAGTTACTCACGTTATTGTAATGCATTTTGTAAATTTATATTGAAGCTGATGTATTAAAACGTACAATAGCATTTCAACAATATATATTCAGATATAACTATCAACAGGGTGTAGTCTAAAAACAATCAGAAGACTAATAAATTATGTATTTTGAAAGTCCTTGACAAAAGCAATAGAAAAGTTTCAGTTACAGTGAACTGAATTTCATGCTATAAATTGGTCCCCATATGACAAATAAGGTAAAAAGAAATTATTGTGTAGCTTGCACTCAGAATTTTAGCTTCAAGCTTGTAATTAATTTTTATTATTGAAAGCCATATACAAGCCTCTATCACTACTGAAATTTTAGGACAAATGTAACAATTAAATACAAGCTCTGTAAGCAAAGTCTGTGGTAAAATTCATATATGACATATTTGTACCTCATTAATATACAAAACCAGGGATGTTTTTAAATACATATAGTACTAAATGTTGTGCCTGAAATATGACTTCATGGTATATATTTTCCAAAATAATCTGGGTTTGTCTGTGTGCGTGTTTAAGCATTCACTCTGGTTTTGGAAGTAGGCTAGAACAGTGTTTCTCAACCAGTGGTACGAGTATCTTTAAGGGTACTTGAGAGAACTCTGGTGGGGGTGGAAATTTGAAGAAAACTGAATTTTTGTTCTAATTTTTACAGTGCTTTATTATTTTTGTACTTTTTGCACCCAAAAAATGTCATCACTCGCCCGGCTACAATTAAGTTGTTTAAACAAATGTGTTGCAATGGTAGAAAAAAATGGTGTGTCTGAAAACTGTAGGTACTGGGGATATTTTTTTTAAAGGGGTACTTTATAAAAAAAAAAGGTTGAGAAACACCGGGCTAGAACTTACATACATACAGTAAGTCACGGCTACAATAAAAACTTGTTACTGTGATTGGAGATGGAGGAAATGTAAAATCTGAATTCAGGTTCAGGTGTCTGTCTGGGGCTATGTCTTCTTTCAGAAGAAGCTTTTCCGGAAGAGATCTTCTGAAAAAACTTCTGAAAAAGCATGTCCCCACTGCCAAAGTGCATCGAAAAAGTGATCTGCTTTTTCAAAAGATAGCGTCCAGCCTGAATGGACACTATCTCACATTTAAACTGTGATTACTGTGGATGGAGTGGCCACCAGGGCATCTGTGCTTTTTCCTCTTTCCTCTTCTTCTGAACGAACTCCTTCTTCCCAGACCACACACATCTTTTTCCGAAAGAGTTCATTGAAAAAAGGCGTCTTCCTTGTAGAAAGTGCTTTACCAATGTTGGAAAAACCTCTCTGTTCTTTCAATTTTTTTTGAAAGAATATGATTGCAGTGAGGACATAAATGAAGTTTTGTTGAGAAAATGGCCGTTTTCTGAAAAAAATCTCTGTTGTGTAGACAGACCCTGACTGTTTGTATTCTTCTTTGAACTCATGTAATCTAAATCCTAATTCAGACTTTTTGACAGCAATAGGAACCTGTTTCAGATCACATATTTACAGGGATAAATCAACTCTACTGAAGCCAATGAAGTTACAGTGGTGCACGAGATAAATTTCAGAACCTGAATTCAAAGGGAATTGGATCATGGCGATCATCGCAAAAAGAAAAACCCTTCCTATATTTTTTCCACTCCAGGGCACAGATAGCAGAAATGAATGGTAGGGTGGAAAGCACAGTCATTTCAAAAACTCAACATTAGTTTGGTTCTTGATCCAATGGATCTAGGGTTCTTGATCCATTACTGTATTCAGACCAATTCATCCATCTCTCAGCTGAGATGCTGACTTGAGATAATATAGCCTGTGAATGAGTAACATTTGTATTTGAGATCCTAGAGATGGCTTTTGCATTTATAGATTTCACAATATAGAAATAGAAATAGATATCATCAGGAAAACTGGAAAAAGGACTTAACACAAAGTGACTAAAACTTTGCTACACTATTTTTGTGTCTTTTTGCAAATGCTGCACTGAAAAATGGTGCTGTTTTAATATGAGAAAATTTCAATATACTTTTTGTCAGTGTTCACCAATGCAATAAAAAATACTTTCAAACTTTTATACCCTCTCGGGGGCGCCCCAGGGCTTCCCCCGCCTTCCTGCAAAACGGCAGAGGGTTCACCCCTCGCCCATCCCCGGACACAGTGCGGGTCCAGCAGACCCATCACAGTCCCCCCACTGGAGTACCTCCCAAAGGTGCCAGAGGTGCCAGATTATCGGAAGTCTACTGTATATCAATATCCTCTTTTAATATGAGGTGCTGTAATTTACCCATCTTATCATTTAGACTTCAGAGTTTGTGTATAAGCCCTTAAAAATTTGTCACTATTTAGTTTTCTGCTATTTCCAGATGTGTTAGACTCTTTTTCATTTGATTGTGTCTCATCTGATCTTACCCACACTTTCTTATTTTTCATCCTTTCCTCCTTACTAGAACACAGAGACTCTATCAATAGACCCTCCCCTAAGAGATGTCTGTGTCTGATCCATGTGCTCCTCCGCACCCGTTGGCTTTCTCCCAGTCCTTAGTTTAAAAACTGCTCTACAACCTTTTTAATGTTAAGTGCCAGAGATCTGGTTCCATTTTGGTTTAGGTGGAGTCCATCCCTCCCGTATAGGCTCCCCCTTTCCCAAAAGTTTCCCCAGTTCATAATAAATCTAAACCCCCACTCTCTACACCGTCGTCTCATCCACGCATTGAGACTCTGATGCTCTGCCTGCCTACCTGGCCTTGCGTGTGGAACTGGAAGCATTTCAGAGAATACCACCATAGAGGTCCTGGATTTCAGTCTCTTTCCTAGCAACCTAAATTTGGCCTCCAGGACATCTCTCCTACCCTTCCCTACATCATTGGTACCTACATGTACCACGACCACCGGCTCCTTCCCAGCACTACACATAAGTCTATCTAGATGCCTCGAGAGATCCGCAACTTTCGCACCAGGCAGGCAAGTGACCATACGGTTCTCCCAGTCATCACAAACCCAACTATCTATGTTTCTAATGATCGAATCACCCACTACTAACACCTGCCTCTTCCTAACAACTGGTGTTCCCTCCCCCTCAGAAGTCTCCTCAGTGCGAGAGGATACCGCAACATCCTCTGGAAGGAGGGTCCCAACTACGGGAAGGTTTCCCTCTGCTCCCATTGAATGCTCTGTTCCCTTGAGACTTTCATCCTCCTTAAGAGCACTGGGGCTCTCAGACTGGAGGTGGGAGAGTACTACAGTGTCCCAGAAAGTCTCATCAACATATCTCTCTACCTCCCTTAGCTCCTCCAGTTCAGCCACCCTGGCCTCCAAAGCCTGAACTCGGTCTCTGAGAGTCAGGAGCTCCTTGCAAAGGGTGCACACATATGCCACTCGCCCACAGGGCAGGTAATCATACATGTTACACTTGATACAATAAACAGGATAGCCCCCACTCTGCTGCTGGGCTTCTGTCTCCATTTTTCTTATGAATAAGTTTAAGTATTAATGGGGCTTCTTATTAAATGTCTGGAATATAGATTATTATAAAAATTATGTTTAAAGAAGGTCAGAAGTCACTAGAGCCCTTTAACCTCCCCCTCTAACCTCCCTCTCCAAACTCCTGTTAGCTGCTCCTGGTCGCAAGCTCCCTGGTCGCTGACTCACAGCTTATCAAGCTCTGGTAGCCCCTCCCCCTGACTGAGGCTCAGCCAATTAACAGAATCTTGTTGAAGACAGGTTACCTGGGTATCATGGAGGGCAGTGAATGAAGGCAATGGGATGGTGTAAACATTCATGAGATTGTAACTTGCCTGACAGAACTTCTAACGCAGTTGATAACATACAAGAAGAAAGGCACCTAGCTTGAGTCCCATATTTCAGGTTTGGATTGCAGAGATGGCTGCTAGTGGAGACAGTTTTGCTTTTCCCTTTTTGAACTTGAAAATCCTCAAGAGATGGTAGACCTGGAACTCTCACAGTGCCATTATCCAGTGCAGTGAACCACATCTTAAGGGAAGTTTTTTGTCTTTTCTTCCAGATACAATGAAGATTATTCACCAAGCACATGGATCTAAGGTACATTTGCTCTCAGTTTCTTACCCTTCCCCCACCCCGTATGTACGGATACAGCAAGATCTATGCTCTTCTAGAGAATGTAACGATAGTGCTGATAAAACCTGCATTTTTCTTCATATTTCTATTTACTTTTTTCTAGACCAATGAACTTGTAGTGAGTTTGGAGGATGATGACAAACTCATTTTAAAAGAAGACAGCACTTTGAGAGCAGCTGGAGTAGGTAGGATTACCTTTATGTTGATTGACAATACTGATCATTGTTCTTGTCATTGTACTGATAACTGGCTGATTATGTTTGGATAGCTGGCTGAAAAGTAAATGCTATCCCTGATGCTCTTTACACTACCTGATAATTATGCAGGGAAGAAGGGGGGAATAATGTACATTCACATTGCTGGGCAGAGGGCAGCAGGTATGTGCACTCCAAATGTTCAGAATGTAAATTGTGATTTTCAGGAGGTATGCTTAGAATTCTGCTGAGGGTAATTTTAAATGATTGACGGATAGGTTATTAGTACTATGTCTGCTTAATCTTATCAGTAACATTTAAACTGATGTTTTGGTTAGACATTTAAGTAGGGGAACTATTGTGGAATAATGAAATGAGATTAGGTGTGTTTAATGTGCAACACAATATTCAAATTGAACAGGGAGCAAAAATAATATCACACAGAAATTGCGCTGAACATGGCAATGGTTAAAATTAACCTGATTCCTTGTTGTCTGGCAGAAGAATGCATATGGCGCATGTCTTGTGATTATAGCTAAAAAGATGTCTACATGGGATAAATTTGATGGTCACTGGATGTCATATTGACTCCCTGCAAAAGTGGCTAAATGATTATGTGACAGCTGAGCAGCCAAGACTTTGAGGCCCAATTCACAGGCATTGAGATGACACTGATTAGTTTAGAATGTTGCTTATTTAAATCAGGTGCACAACAATCTTATGCTATGAGTGAAACATCACAGAAGAAGTTAGAAATAGAAGAACCCATTCAGCATTAGACCACCTAACCTCTCCCTAAGCCAAAGTAGGATTTTCCCCTTTTGTCTGATCTAGTTTAAAATGCTTCAGTCAGCAGTCCTTCCTGCTTTCCCTTTAGGAGACCATAATAAATGTTAACTATTGGGGAAAAATAAAAGGAACTTCAGGAAATACTGTTTTTGATTTCATTCCTTTACTCCTGTCTAATCTCATTGAGCCACACTGATCAATTGCGCTTGGTATTTATACCCGATACTTTTACTTTCTCCCCCTTTCCTCTTTGCATGCCACCCTGCCCCTTAATGGCTTAATCTGTACTGTGATCTCTGTGAGGCAAGGATGGTCTTGTAATATATGTGTGTACCATGCCTAGCACAATACGCCCCTGCTAGAAGGCCTTACAGAGGGCTGGTCAATATTGTAATATTAATGATAAAAATCATTCTTTAGCTTTCTGCTAAGCCAATCCTTTTTAACCCAGAAGAAAACCATGTTTTCAGGAAGAAAGAGCTGTATATGCCTCTTGTCAGCATGAGTCTTCCTTAAGACTTGAGGTGGCACGGCCTAGGCCTAGGCAAGGGACTGGGAAATAGTGGCAGAAGTTTGTTTAGATCTGCCTTCCCTCCAGTGCTGTTCTCCTCCCCCCGGACAGCATTGATGAACTATTGTACATTCCTGCATTTAAAACGGGTATTGTAATACTATAGGTGGTGTCATTTGATGCAATTTCAGTAAATTATCAGCACTCCAGCCAGAGTAATCTTGTTCTGAAAACAAATTGTGATAAACTAGACTTTTTTTCTTTCTTTGTAGTGGGAAGGAGGGAATGGTTAAAGAATTGGAGAAAAGTGCTTAAAACAATGCTTCTGAGATTATTCTGGTTAAACTATATACTTATAATTTATGCTGAATGAGTCAATGCATAACTGTTGCATGAGTAGAATGAAGTTTTTGCTGTGTAATGTGGACTATCCTCCTACACTTACCAAATTTTGAAGTTTTAGAAGAGCCATTTTTGTGTACTGATGTATTAAAGTTTACCTCCGTATGAAAAGCTCTCTTCCACTGACTTACAGAATAGTCTACAAGACTATTCAGTAGACTACATGAATAGTGTAGGAAGGCCTCTGCCAACTCCTGATTTGTATCCATTAAGAGTAGATTTGCATTTCTAGTAAGCAATAATAATGTAGCAAAAACTCTTTGGGCTAGGGACTGCTTCTGTTCTGTTTGTACAGTATTTCACACATAACTTAGGGCTCCTAGGCGCTATGGCAGGGGAGCCACTTCCTGAATTTTGGACATGGTTTCTGGATGCCCTGAAAGGGTGGAAGGGGGGGGCTGTTCCCTGTAGGAGCTCCTTGCCACCAGGCCCTGATTGGTGTAGGGGTGGGGGAGTGCTCAAAGTCTTTGCCTCCATCCCCACCCTGCTAGGGTTATGCGGCGCCTATAGAGAACTGGCCAGCCATTTTGAACAGCTGGTGGTTCCTGCTGGTCCCGCATGCCCCTAGCAGGGGAAGAGACTTTGTGTGCTCCTCTGTTCCCAGGTCTCGATTGACCTGGGGGTGGGAGAGTGTCAGGGCAGTTGTGGGCTGGATCAAATGGCTTGGCAGGCCAGACCCGGGCCACGAAGGCTGTCTTGCCCACCTCTGTGCTATGGTAATATAAAGAATAAACAAAACAACATGGTGTCATATGACATTACTTCTAGTCCTGAACCTGTCTCCATTGAAATCTCCCACTGGTATGTTTAGATTAGGGCTGTCAAGTAATTAAAAAAAAGAATTAATCACGATTAATCGCATTGCTGAACAGTAAGGGTATGTTAACACTGCACACTTATTTCTGAATAAGCTATTCCGGAAGAAATACTCTGAAATAGCTTATTTCAAAATAGCACGTCTACACTACAGGGAAGCCTCAAAATTAGTTCGAGGCAGGCTCCCCTAATGTGGATACACTACCTCGATTTAGAGCCCCAGAAAGCACTAGGGAGGAGCAATTTTGAAATAGCAGCAGTGTAGCGTCCACACTACAGCTATTTCAAAATAGTACTTTCAGAAGAGGCGTTATTCCTCGTGGAATGAGGTTTTCAGAAGTTGGAATAAGCCATCCTTTATTTCAAATTTATTTTGAAATAAAGCAATTGCTGTGTAGATGCTTGCATTGTAATTTCAGAACAATGGCTGTTGTTCTGTAATAATGCTGCTGTGTAGATGCACCCTAATAGAATATTATTTATTCAAATATTTTGCATGTGTTCTATGTTTTCAAACTCATTGATTTCTACTATAACACAATACAAAGTGTACAGTACTTTATATTTATTTTTATTACAAATATTTGCATTGTAAAAAACAAAAGAAACAGTATTTTTCAATTCACCTCAACAGTGCCATACAGTTGAGTAGCCCTGCTCTAGAGCCTACAAGTCCACTCAGTCCTATTTCTTCTTCAGACAATTCTCTTTATCAGGAAAGTTGAACTTACAAATGCAAAACTATGCATGAAAAATAACTACATTGAAAAAATACAACAATGTACAATTTTAGACTCTAGAGCAGGGCTACTCAACTTGGGAAGTCCTGGGGGCCACAATGTTACTCACAGCGCATGCCGAGGGCTGCAACTTAAGCGTGGTTACAGATACATGCAAATATGTATGCAAATATATGCAAATAGCTTTGTTCACACTGACAGGCATGAATATAAAGCACTTCTCACAGTGCCCCGGCGATCCCAGTACTCCCTCCCTGGGGGCTAGAAACGCCGACACTCTGTATCCATCTGTTCCAGCCAGCCTATATGCTTGTGTTTTTCAGTGCTCACCCCGCCTGGGAGTCACCTCGCTGTTGTAGAGTGTGTTCCCAGTGGAGGCCATGTTCAAAGGATCCCACCCACAGGCCGCATGCTGATCCCCGTGTAAACCCAAACTACACCACGGTCTGCAAACAGATGAGCTGCAGGCTGCATGTTGAGTAGCCCTGCTCTAGAGCCTACTAATCCACTCAGTCCTATTTCTTCTTCAGCCAGTTTCTCAGACAAACAAGTTTGGTTCCAATTTGCAGGCGATAATGCTGCCCACTTCTTGTTCACAATATCGCCCAAAAGTGAAAAGTGATTTTTTGTGTGGCACTGTTATTAGCTGGCATCGCAACGTATTTATGTGCAACATTCAAATGCTCTTTCGTGCTTCAACCACCATTTCAGAGGACATGCTTTTATGCTGCTGAAGTTCATTAAAAATAATATGTTAATTAAATTTGTGACTGAATTCCCTGGGGGGAGAGTTATTTGTCTCCTGTTCTGTTTTATTTGCATTCTACCATATATTTCATGTTATAGCAGTCACGGCTAATGACAGCACATGTTCATTGTAGAACACTTTCACAGCTGATTTTGCAAAACATGAAGAAAATATCAATGTGAGATTTCTAAAACTAGCTACAGGACTCAAGGCTTAAGAATCTGAAATGCTGTCCAAAATCTGAGAGAGACAAGATGTGGAGCATGCTTTCAAAAAAGTCTTAAAAGAGCAACACTTCAATGCAGAACCAGAATTGCCAAGAGAAAATCAACCTTTTGCTGGTGGCATATGACTCAGATAACAGAAATTAACATCTGTTGGTTCTCTCTGCTTTGGATCATTATTGAACAGAACACATCAGCAGCGTGGATATAGATCTTCTGGAATGGTGGTTGAAGCATGAAAGGACATGAATGTTGAGAAGATCTGGCACATAAATACCTTGTGATGCCAGCTACAACAGTGCCATACAGCCACCTTTTCTCACTTTCGGGTGATGTTGTAAACAAGAAATAAGTAGCATTTTTTCCTGCAAATTGTAATCAAACTTGTTTGTCTAAGGAAACTGGCTGAAGAAGTAGGACTGAATGGACTTAGAGACTCTAAAGTTGTACGTCATTTGGCTTATGAGTGCAGTTAGGTAACAAAAAATTGTACATTTGTAAGTTACACTTTTATGATAAAAGATTGCACAAGAGTACCTGTATGAGGTGCATTGAAAAATAATATTTTTTATCCTGGTACAGTGAAAATATCTGTAATTAAAATATAAGGTGAATACCACACACTTTATATACTGTTATAACAGAAATCAATGTATTTTAAAATGTAGAAAATCATTGAAAATATGTAATACATTTTAGTTGGTATTCTGTTATTTAATAGTGTGATTTAAGCACAATAAATGTTTTTAACTGTGATTAATTTTTTGTACTTAATCACAGTTAACTCCTATGCTTATTGACAACCCTAGTTTAGATTTTAATATTTAGGCTGGACAACATTTGCTAGAAGCAAACACTAGAGTTTCCCTTGTAAAAAAGCCAGGAACCCAATCCTGCAAAGTGCTGCATGCCCTCCAAACTACTGATTTTAGCAATTGGGCTGGAGAGATGGAAATGATGAGGGTATTAGATAAGCATTTTTACAAAATCCTCTGTGGTGATTATTATTATTACAGGTATTATGTAGTCAGCATAGTTAATGCGTGCCTGTTTCTAGAGCAAGAACGTATGTTAATAAAGTATTCAGCATTCACTGCAAACAATCTTGTCAGTTTCCTAGTCAAGATTCTAAAACCTCTTCTGCTCCTTGTTTTTTTTAACAGGCAGACTGCATTACATTCAGGATTAATTTAAAAAGCAAATGTGGAACTTATTGGCTCAGCACCTTAAAGAATTCCATGTTTAATAATTGTGAAGGTTTTCTTTCAGATTTGTCTCAGTCTGAATTAGTAATGTTGCTGACTTATTGTTTTAGAAGAGGAAGTCCTTGACCTGCTGGGTTGAAAGAATTGTGACTGCTCTGAACCTTTGTGGGTCCTTTAGCTGTGCCATATCCCCTGTGAATAATTAGAGGTATTTGAAGGTACTGCTAGAGAAGCCAATTTGTGTCGTTCACTTTGCATATTGTTGAAGCCTCATGAATTAATCATTAGCAGGGCAAAAAATTAACTTCTTCAGACACATTTTGATGGGCCATGAGGGAGAATGTAAAGTGATCTGTAAAATATTCTACTAATCCTCTAAGTATTAAATTATTATACCTACAGGCTAATTTCAGAATTTTTTTCCTCCCTAACTGAATAATGGACTGAAAAAAGTACTAAGCTTCATTTCTTTCTATGATTCTTAGAAAGAATAAACATGCATTCTTGTAGGTTGCTGAATGCCATCCAAATGGTTTTTGAAGCCTTCGGTGCAATTAGTCTTGAAAGTTTTTGCAGATTTTTGTTCACATTTAAATTACAATACTCTAGTTCTTTTAACCAGGCTAAAGTATTATATTTTGGTCTAATGTAAAAATAAACAAGGTGGTAAGTAGCGATTGCTTTTAATCAAAAAGTCATGGAATGCATTCTGAGGATCTAATTAATGTTAATAGGCTGCTGTGTGGTTAATACAATCATCATATGCATTTATTGGATATGCTGAATATTTATTTTGTATTTTTTTCAGCAAATGAAACTGAATTAGCATTCTTCTGTGAAGATGATTACAGAAACTACAAAGCTAATCCTGTTTTGGCCTGGTGACGATCCCACAAGACCTGTTTTTTGTTTTGTTTTGTTTTTTGTTTCCCCAGACCTGCTGTAAACTTTTTTTCTGTTTAATGAGATTTTTTTTTAAATCAATAATTTCTAGAGGATTGTCTCTCAGATGTTGCAATTTCTTTATTATGGAAACTCATTTCTCTCAGGATGCTGAAATTCAGGCAGACAAAAAAAATCAATGACACACATTTGCTTTCCTTTCATACATTCCCCTCTCCCCACCTGTTATGTCTTACAATGTAAGTAGTGTAAATGAACTCTGACTTATAACACACATTCTAATGGTGTGATTCCGCAGCAGTGGATTAAGTACAAGAGATATTAACTACATATGGAAATTGTAGAAGGCAGATGTAAAATCCCATCATAATGGTATCCTTTTTTATGGAAAAAAGAAATCTTTTATGACCAACTCAGATATTAATGATGGAATCCCTAGGTTACATGTAATAGCTTCATTTCACTCATCTTATGTTCAGTCTTACTTGTTTGAATGGTGCAGGCTGATTCAGGTTTCATAGTATTCACTTGTGAATGGTTTCCATTATATTCTATATTCAAACCCCCTTTTGTGTGATGAAACAGACAAATGACTGTTTGGAGGCTTTTGTGCTCAAGGACCAGTCTGACTGTTTTAGCATTATTTCACTGAGATGCCTTGGTGTAAGGAGTAGCAACTTGACTTCTTGTGTGACATCAGTATGCACAAGCAGACATCAGGCATTTCTCCAAATGGTGAGAAAGCCAGTGACTACTCATGGGTTCACTTTAGTATTAAAACAAAACCTGAATGATTACATTGCTTGTGAGGGGAGGTACAGCCTGTGGGCAGCTATTTCCATGACAGGAAGCAATTCTTCCCTATTTTCTCAATGATGAATACTCCCATAGTGCCACTATCCATTAGTTCCTGGAACGTCTATACTTTTCTGCTACATTGTCTAAATTTAGAAGTAGAATAGTTCTCCTAGAATGATTGGATAGACTTTCTCTCCAGGAAGAGTTAATACTGCTGTTCCATGAAATTGCAGTACTAAGGCAGTGACATTTCATTGGCTATGCTGTACCGTAACATGACAGTGGCTTTTGTTATACTCTCTAACACTACTTGTATACTATGTGCTGCTCAACTTTTTTTTTTAATCCACTCTTTACAGCACTTTGGTCTTGGGGAAAAAGGCATAGAAATTACCAGGGCTTAGTTATATTGTTCAAATAAAGAGTGTTGGAAGAGAATGCAGGGAGGATTGGGAATGGAATATGGGGCCTTTAATCTCTGGAACCTGGTTTGATTCTGGAGCAATTGAGTGATGAATAAAAATTGTTAGCACCCAGTAGCTAGTGGGAAATGAGGTAGAGGTCTCTGTCCAGTTCCTTCTGGAATGGTGAGCCCATCACAAGTAGAACACTGCCACAGCATCTGATCAAAGGTGATTTCCCCATGGCAGTGTGGGGGAAAGTAGCTTGAACTGATTCTGCTCGTGCTTATTGTGGGAATAATGAGGCCTTTACTTTCCAGGGCTATCAACCTTTCATCCCTTACCAGCTCTAAATTAAGTTATAAAACAAACAGACTAGTTGTCTTTATCTTGAGTTGCTTTGATTTTAAAACAGACTGAGGTTTACAGTCTTATGGATGATGGAATGAGACAAACCTCCTGCAGAGAAACCAAAGCAGAGCTAGGTATAGATAACAGTAGTTGGAAAGGGTTAGCAACTAGAGGAGAGTAGAGAGCTGGGAATATCTCATGAAGGACACAATGGCATCAAGGAGGAGAGGGTTAGTTAGACGTTGGCATGGGCAGAGAATTGCAGTAGACACACAAGAGGAAGTTTGAATGGAAAGGTAGCAGTATGAGCAGTGGCGTTTGGCTGAATCATTTCTCAGCTGGATACAAAAACAATCGTCAGTTGTCCTACTTTTTACACATTAAAAGGTCACTTTGTTCACTTAAAATACCTTTTGCAAACCTTGCTGTGCAGGGATCTGGATTTTTCAGAGACAATTCTGTTACCTTCTGACATTTCCTATTTGCTAAGAAATAGTGCTGGCATGGATATTTATAAAAGGTTTGTTAAATGCTCCCAATTCTCATTGGCTTAGACCTTCCCAGATCTTCAAGGAGGGGTCTGAGAGGCATGTTGTACACTGTCAGAATTAATTAGGGGAACTGCTTTACCTTCTGAAAGTTATTTTGTTATAGATGTGATTTGCAAGTACTGAATGACCTATGGAGAGGGACAAATGCTCCAGTGAAGCACTCAGCACACGACCTTACAATCCGTTAATTTGAAAAACTATCTGCTGGCAACCTTTAGCATGTAGTGCTTGTCACTCGTCTAGAACAGCTGCAGATTCCTGTTCTCCTTGCCCAGTAATAAGGAAACTGACTTGAGGAAGGACTAAGGATCCTTAAAACCTGCAGCATGGGAGTGTGATTGTAGGAAATGTACTTGTTTGTGCTTGGTCACATCAGTAAGAAAATGCTGGGTTCTCTTTGAAGTCAATGGCAGCAGGATCAACGTAAACCTGGGGCATGGAACCTCTTTTCTATCAGAGGCCACTGATCCACAGAAGAAAATGGTGGTGAGGGCCTCCACACACCATTGTGAGGGGGGTACATGGAGGTTCTGGGTTTCTCCTAGACGCTGGAGAGGAGCCAGAAATGAGGGATGGAAGATGTGCTTGGGGCTGATGTGTGGGAGAAAGGGTTCCAGCTTCAGGGTGTGGGCTCTGGGGTGAAGCTTGGCATGAGGGGTTTAGGGTGCAGGAGAGTTCTTAGAGCTGGGGCAAGGGTTGGGGTGCAGTAGAATGTGTTGGGTGCAGGATCTAGGAGGGAATTTGGGTATTGTAGAGGGTTCAGGATTGGGATGGGGGTGGGGGGGAGGGGCTGGGAGAGACCTTAGGGTGAAGGAGGGGTTCCAACTTGGGGAGTGAAAGGGAGGTGGTATCCAGCCAAGTGGCTCTTATCTCAGGCAGCTCCTGATCGGCGGGGCTAAGGCAGGCTCCCCACTTACCTGTCTCGATTCCCCGCTGCTCCTGGAAGTGGCTATCTAGGTGCGAACTGCCTGTTCCCATAGACACCAGCCCTGTAACTCCCATTGGGCTGGTGGGGGATAGCACGTTGGACTTTTGGGCTCCCCTGATTGCTCCTTCACCTAGAGGCTGCAGGGTTATGCTATTGAACCAGCCCTCAAGACGCTGGCCCCATGGTGGGGCACTGAGGCACAGGTCTTCTGGTCTGTGGCATGGAAACTTGCCATGGGCTGGATGAAATGAAGCAGTAGGCCGGATGTGGTCTATGAGCCCTCATATAAACCAAAATACAAACAATTGTGACTGCCTACATTGGCTTTAAGGCTTATAACGATCTGTAACCCAGTAACAGCTGCTGCCCTCCCCCCTGCCTTTCCTTCGAGGAGAGGGGCATTAACATGAAGGTCTGGGGCTTCCCCTAGCCTCTGGGATGAGGCCAGAAATGAGGGTGCTTGATTTCTTAATACAATATGTGTTAACTACTGTATGCTAACCAATCTGTTCCACATGGGCTGTGTCTACACTGGGCCACTTATTCCGGAAAATCAGCCGCTTTTCCGGAATAAGCTGTGAGCTGTCTACGCTGGCCCTTGAATTTCCGGAAAAGCAACGATGCTCTACTGTACAAAATCAGCCGCTATTCTGGAAAAACTATTCTGCTCCTGCTCAGGCATAAGTCCTTATTCCGGAACACTGTTCCGGAAAAGGGCCAATGTAGACAGCCCAGTAAAAAACCCCAGAAAATACTGAACATGTAAAATGTTCGATATTTTGTTTTTCTTGGATGGAAGGCCGGCGGGTGGGGAAACGAGGAGCACAGTGATTCTTAAAGATACAGCAACCTTTTTTTTGTCCCCCCCCCCCCCCCTTTTTTTTTTTTTGCTCAACCAAGTTTTTTTCCTGCCCTGTTTGGGATTTTTGGTGAAAGCATCTGGCAAGCCTACAGATCATTCTGGGCTGTATGCCAGAGGGGAGGGATCCTCAAGCTTTATGTTAAGAAGTGACCCAGGGAGGGCAATGGGAGAGGTAGTTCCCTTTAGGTAATCTCAGCCTGTTTTGGCAGGATTCTGCACTGAGCGAGTGGCTGCCTGGCTCTGTGACTATTAGGGTCTTGGGTTCGGGCCTGGTGGAGTCAGGTGGGCCCAGGCCCCCCATCTGGACCATCAGCCCTCCCCTTTAATGGTGGTCTCTTGGGTATAGGCCACTAGGCCATGCTGCTATGAACCAAAGGGCCACCTTGTTGACACCAGCTACTAGGCCTTGCTGCCCTGGGTACTGGGGCTATCATCTTTGCTTGGGCCCTTAGAGCCCAGAATAGTGAAGGTAGAGATGGACAAATAGACTCAATGCTGGTGTCCATGTACCCAGTACCCCCCCTTTCAAGATGGGGTAGGCATACACTGCCACAGTCCTCTTCCCAAACCGGAAGCTAGGTCCTAGCCGGGACCTGAATGATAAGAGCAGAACAGGCAGAGCTGTCCCCTTCATTGGATGGTGCAGGGCAGTCACACTGGGCCCTGTGCTTCAGCGGGACATAGGCCTGGGTGCTGCAGTGGCCAGCAGCAGTGCGACTGGCCCCACTCTGCCTTGCCAGCTGCCAGAGTCACTTGGGAGCGGAGGGTTGGGGCTTTGGGGAAGGAAAGACTGGGGGCTGGGAGGGGCAGAAGCAGGAAGAGGTGGGGTGGTGGCTTGGGGGTGGAGTGGGGAGCAGGAGCAGAGCGAGGAGTTGTCCTGGGCCCTGCACCCCTCCTCAGGATGGCCCTGGTTATAGGCTCCTTCTGAAACTGGCTTTCAGAAAATCGTGCATGACAACCTCATCTACTGCTTGGTTTAAACAGAAACGTCGTTTGCCCATAGAGTGGTGAGCAGCGAGCGGGGGAGGAAGACAGCCCAGCCTAAGAGCTACTGGCACAGTGTAGCTTTGTCTGCAGAGAATCCAGCAGGTGTCAGCACAGCCTGTTCTTTAGTTCGCCTGAGCCAGGAACACCAGCAGGTGGGAAGAACAGTTAGTTCTCTACGAGGTAGTTTAACTTGCACAGAGTGTGGGGCTCAGTGCTGGTGCTTTCCTTGCAGACTGTTGCATTTTATATTGAAGTCAAAATGCTGGGTCCAATCTTAACTGCCTCCTGTTAGCTAAGGAGCATCCTGTGCCAAGTCACTTCCAGCGTGTCAACCCCTGCACAGCGTGGATGTTAACTTCCCCCTTGTTTGGTGTGTTGTCTAGAAAACACCAGTTTTACTTTTGCTTAGGCAGATTTACTGAGCTTTAAAATAAGCCTGACTACCTTGAATTCAAGGTGAAATGCCCAGAGCAAACACATGCATGTAAGCTCCATCCCTAAAGCTTCAGCAACACAAGGTAAGTCAGAACACACACATCATCTTCACGTCCTCCTCCAGTGAGAAAAGGGGAATCTTGCATCCTGGCCTCAAGGCCACCCTGTCTGCGCTTTGATCAACTCAGGTGGGCTGGGACTTCCAGCGCAGAGGGAGCAGGCTGCAGCATTATGAATTGATTCACTCAAGCATGGTAGTTGAAGTTCACATAAATTATACCCATGTAATGGGCAAATAAATGGTGCGGAGAGGGTGTAACGGACTTCCTTACAGCCAGACTTCCATTTATCCACAGGCGTTTGCTTACAAGTGCAAGGCTAGCTACGGAGGAGATGAAAGAAAGTAAAGCTGACGTGGTGTGGGCTGGTCGGTCTGACTCCCCCTCCCCCCCTTAACTCTTCCAGTTTTGTTTCTCTTGCTTTAATCCTCTCTTCTGGCCTCAGACTGTGGGAATCCTCTCTTCTGGCCTCAGACTCCTGGGGCTTCTTAACCTTTTTTGTGCATGAGCAAAAAATTGTCTTGGGCCCCCAAAGTCTAAGTACAGTAATCCACAAGCATTTTTGTTCCCATTAGTGATGCATATAATACATTGCCACATTTCATTGTATATCAGTCACAGCTGGCATGAAAAGGAGGTAGCAGGGGAATGGATGGGGGTGGACTGCTGGGGGTGCCAAAGAGAAGCTGGATGGCAGGAGTCCAGGGTGCTCTCATTCCCCCTCGCTGCACAGAAAGAGCAGATTTCAGGCTGTTGCGGGGCTGGCCCTGCGGTCTCATGAAGCACCACTCTCCCAGGAGCGCGGAAAGAAGGAGAGGACTGAGGAACAGATGTGAGATGGGGTTAGGGACAGAGCAGAGTTACATAGGACAGCAGGAAAAGTGGAACTTTTCATACCTTCCTACACCCTCTGTTGTATGCTAGAACCCACTGGATTTTGCATCACTCCACCAAGGATTAGCCCAGCAGGCATCTCCTAGAGATCCTCTGGTGGGTTGGATCTTAGGGCATGGAAATCAATTCCTTTACATGTAGGGGCCAAATTCAGAAGTGCGAGGGACAGTGAATAGACCAGAGGAAGGTGCAAATATGTCAACTTAGACTTACCTCTGCATTTGGCCCTATGCTCCCATGCAGCCTTCCTAGATGGCGTGTCGTGCTGTGTAACTGAGTTTCCCTGTAACCTGAGAACTACTTGCAGGCTCTCTTTTCACATCACAATTGGGTCTGATTCTGCCAACTTTATCTTCACCTATGAAGTCCATTGGGATGAGGATGCCAGGAAAACCTGTTCAGAGCATGTATATTTCTCCTGTTCTACATGCCACTTGTGATACTTAAGAATCCAGATCAGGAAGCTCCTTGGCTTCACTTTAAAATGTCAAATATTGGGCTAGTCTCACACTGCTGTGTAGTCAAGCCTCAGGTTCTCCCCCTCACTCCTCCAGGTGGCATGAAATAAATCAGATCAGTCGCCTTTAGTCAATGACTTAATAGAGAGTTAGAGTGGTAAAGAGATGGACGGCCCCCCTCTACATCATTAGTTCTTATTTTTTTTCTATTTTTTCAGGGAGAATTTGACTTAGCATATTTAGCTCTTTGCTAGTGTCTGCTTTCCAGCTACTGCCTCTAGGTAACGGAATGAGACAGCTATTTAACAACTAATAGTTGAAAGCAGATGGCTCTTTGATCCAGGAGAAAGAGGCATAACAGCTGATGTCTGGAAGTTGAAGCTAGATACCCTCACTGTTAAAAAATATTCCCTTTGCTTCTGATTTGAGTTTAACTAACCAGTGGAACAGCTGGATGGGGTAGCTCCTCCAATACTCGCTGTCCTTAAGTGTGGATGTCTAAGAAAAATGCTCTAGGTCAGGGCTACTCAACTTTGGAAGCCCCGGGGGTCACAATGATACTCATAGCACATGCTGAGAGCCGCAACTTAAGTGTGGTTGTACATACATGCAAATATATTTGCAAATAGTTTCTTTCACACTGACGGTCATGAATTCAAAGATTAAGGCAAGACTATACAACACACAGGCTCCATTTAAGTCAGTTCTACTGATATTAATAAAATGCAATATTTACCTGATTTCCACCCATATGACAGCACTTTTAATGACAGTCCAGGAATTTAACTACTAAAACACGTATCAACAGAAGACCATTATATTGACTACTTTATTGTTTTGGCTCCCACCTGCAGACCGTGCGCGTGTTGAGCCCTGCGTAAACCCAAACGGGATGCATGTTAAGTAGCCCTGCTCTAGCTCTATTACAAGTCAGTGGGTTTGTTGCATGGATCCTCAAATTACATGGCCAATACTATACAGGTCAACTTAGATAGGCATAATGATTCTTTCCAGCCCTAAATCTATGAAAAGTGATTCAATTGCTCCATGAACAAGAATTGCAGGTAAGGTTCTATTGTACCCATATATTAATCACTGTATGTTTAATTTAAATTATTTGGCTCTTAGTTTCACATAAATTCTTGGTAGTTTTGCAGAACTCTTGCAAAGACTGTCACTCACTAAACAATAAAAAGAGCCAAACCTCCCTCGTGTAACAAATCCATTGTTTGACAGCTAAGGCACAATCTGCAGATTGCATTAACTCGCATCAAATTTTGAGTTAGAGGCTACACAAGCAGTGACAAAACTTACAGATGTAGCAGCTAGTGTACTTGTGCTAGCCTTCTTGGTGACTTGGCTAGGTGCCTTACAGTGGTTTTCAAGAAATTGCATCCCACTTAAGATTTGATTTAACCATAGTTTGATAAATCACTTTGTAAGTGAATCCCTGAAGTGTGGGAGACCAAACACATTGCTAAAAGCCCTGTATAATAAGGAAGGAGTCAGCTGTACCTGCAGAGGCTAAACTTTAGCACAGGAATTTAAATTAACTCATTAAAATCAACTTACAAATTAGCTCATTAAAATGCTGCACTGCAGATCTAGAAGTAGTGAATCTGTTTTCCCACTTCCTTGAGGTAGTGACCAAAGAAACTAAGGCCAAAGAACCAGTGTACTCCTCCTTGGTCCTTTTTAGCTCTGTAAGAAGAAAATGTTTTGCTTACTGAATTAAGCTCTGCTATTCCTGAGCTGCAACAGCTGGTATAATATCCAGGGCCAGCACCCACAAAGGCCCAGATAATTACATATATATTCAGCTGCAACTGCTGCAGATACATGGAATAGTCCCTCTTACACTCACATGACACAGAACTTACAAGCTAGCTCAGAGCATCGATGCTTCTAGCTCAATATCTTCTCCATCATATTAGCAAATACCAGCTGCTTATGTTAGTGGGTTTTGTTTCTCACATTTAAATCCTGGACAACCACGTTGCTTTATTGATAGCTTTATTTAATAGAAAGATACTTTAGATTAACATTGTATTGTTTATAGAAAAAGAGACAGCACACACAAATGAATACTATGCCATTATGTAGACACATTCATACTATCTCTATACAGCTGTAACTGTAATACTAAAAAGCCAATGATGAAAGAGGACTGAAACTGGCCCTGTTCTCACAGCTGATACCCCAAGACACAAAGTAAGCAAAATAAAATAAAAATACAAACAGCTTTCAGCTATAAATCTTGCAAGAAATATACAAACTCCAAATACAAAAGTAATAAGGAAATGTGTAAGCTAACATTCCACAGCCTCCTAGCAAATAGTGAAGTGGGAAAATAAGTTAAAAAGGCCAAAAGCATTTCCAAAGTTTTAACGCTTTTAAAAATGATTATTTCTATAAAGCCAGAATAAATTACCCAGAATTTTAGTGTAAAGGATTTTACCTACAGACCCCAAAGATAGAGAGCCATTCTGAAAGTGGAATGAATTAGGATTCAAAGTTCTTTAGGTAAAGAAATTGATCCCAGAATAGTCAAATCTTTTTTTGGTTAAGGCCCAGATGTCTTCGTCAAGGTAGAGAAGAGATCCAGACGACAGAGAAAATAATAATAATTAAAAAAAAACGAACAATAATAAGTAAATAAAAATATTTTGGGATTCAATCAAAAGCAACTGGTGATCCCTTGACCCACCTATTGATTATCTTGGGCTAGCCCTGGGATGGGGAACCTTATTTTGAGGGATCTGGGGGGCCCTGACTCATAGAAAAATCAGTCAGGGGCCGCACAAAATGAGAAGAAAAACGAACACAACCTCACTGAGAATGAGACTGAGAAGGAGAAAGAAACTCCTCACATTCTTCTTGCCCACCAGAGCCTAGGGGGGCCCAGGCTAGTCAATTTTGTGTGCTCCAGCCCTACGGGGGGACGGCAGGGAGGCTGGAGCACCGGCACAAGCTTCCCAATGCTGGGAGGGGGAACCTTGGGGGCCAGATCCAGGCAAGCCAGGGGCTGGATGCCTTAGGTTCCCCACCACTGGTCTAGGCTCTATTGGTTCAGCCTGACCACTTCTTGCTCAGTAAGTGATGCCACCGATGCCAAACCCTATATCTCAGTGCAAAAGTTATTTTGATACATAACCCCCCCCCCCCACACACACACACACTTGTTTTACACACACTGAAGACAAAGCCCAAGGCTCATGCAACTTTCTCTCCCCTTTTTTTTGGCTACCAGGGTAGCCATCTACCAGGTTGCCTGCTGCAGAGGAGTGAGGGGAAGCATCAGAATCAGGATACTTTCCCTGAGCCAGAAAATGTGAAATCGGTGCTTTTATGTTGGCTTTGCCTGATGATGAAATCCAGCAGGAGGCTGGAATGAGTAAGTGGACTGAATTCAAATTGAATTCCAGGAGTTAAATTGAAGTGGATGGAATTGCACCAGAGGTGATTTTGGCTCAGACCTCTCGCAGATGCTGTAATTTGCCATTCAGTTGCACATATTACTGTCAAATCTGCTTTGTGAGTAACGTTAGCAGATAATGATCTGGGCATGGAGGGGTTCTAGATAATTCTTCCTGCCCTGAAAGGCACAACAGGAACACACACTAATTTCCTTCTTATCAAAGGAAGTATCGTGTGATTGTGAAATTCTGCCCAATCACTCTCATCACTCGATTTCCTTTTATTTAGTAGGAAGACATGGTGTTTTCAGATTCCAGGGTGACACTTAACACACCAGCAGAATATCATCACTGGACTATTAAGTTGCCGCTTGGAAGTTTCACTCTCCCAAGCAGTTAAAGGCTGAACAGAAAGTTCTGATCAGCAGTGACTTTTAACATTTCTCTGCTGATTCAGCTCTTGGCTCTTGTCATTTCTTCAAGGCACTGTCTAATAGCAACTTTTGCACTTTACTCAGTTGTAGAAAACCAGGTTATTACAACCAGATCCTAGCATCTTATTTGTTAAGGCCTTCTTCTATTTCCTCTTGATTCTCCTTTTTAAAGGCTCTATTGTAAAGCCTGGCAGGGATTTCAGGCAAGTTGTAATCTCTGTGGGGCAAGGACTGTGGATTTGTATGTGTTGTTAAGAACCTATGACGTGGGTTGATTTCTCAGTCGAGAATGATGTATTAATTTAGATTGTAGACAATCTGAACAATCACTGGGATAAAGAAAAACAAATGTAAGGTCTGATTCTCCACTGCCTGGCGCAGAATGTGGTCATTTACCCCTGGGCAAAGTGAGTGAGAAGTTCTGCCAAATGATGTTAGTGCGTGACTCGACTCACTCTGTCGCTAAGTAAATGACTATTGAAGTTGCAAGGCACCGGAGAATCAGGGTGTAGCCGCGTAGGTGTCTCTTCCACAATTGACACTTGGTAATAGATGAGTTTTGCTTGCTTGAGAATGTTCGCAGCTGTAAAGTCCCTTTTTTTTGATGTATTGGATCTACCATAAAGAGGGTAGATGTGTCATTGCTGGTGGGGAAACACATACACCCAATAATTGTAGATGAAGTTGGACAAGTTCATTTGAGTTTAATCAGTGTAGTTTCAAATAGCTTCTTCCCAGAATTCACTGCTAATTCAGCTCGCAACTGTTGTTTCCCTAATGTCCAGAGTCAAAATGATGAAGCTGCGAGTTCTTTTGGAGCTGTATCTTTACACTCCTTTCATTAGGTGATTCATTAAACTTTGGTTTCATAGCGCTGAGAATGTGTGGTAGCAGTGACCACTGTGGATTACACTAAGCTCCTTAGGGTAATCAATTCTTCCAACTACAAATATGCACCTGCATCACCTGTATCTACAAGACCAAAAAATGCACCATCCACATTTGAGAAAACAGCGACTACGCAAGTATGTCATCCAATTTGATGTGTCCAGCGCTCAGGTTTTGAAGCTCACCCCACATACCTCCAAGTAACTGGATGTTTGTGTGATGGTGGCAGGAGATAAATAGTTTGTTGAGATTTATGCTGTTCTCATTCAGCTTCAGCATCAGCTTCCCGTATGAAGAACCTCAGGGACTGCTCACACAGCTCAGAATCACTGGTTAGGTTTAGCATCAGGGTCAGATGATCCATCAGGTCACATGCAGAAAGATTTCTTCCTAATCATATGGGATACAAATTGTCTACCCTGCTATTTAAAAAAAAGAGAGTTGTGGGATCCCCAACAGACAGAGTACCATCAGCTACTGTCTCCATTGACCAGTACGACTTACAGAATTCCATTCGTTTTTCTCGTCTATTTACAGCTGCTCTCTCAACGGTCATGGCGATTTCTTAAGGCAACATTCATGCTAGCAAATCAGCATAAACTAGTTTCACGGTAACTGATTTTCTAAAGTCACTAACTGTGGATATTCACCCACAAACCTACACAAATTAGGAAAAACCTCCAGAAGCCTTCATAGTGCTTTGAAATTCTCCATCATCCGGAAGGCTTTGTTACACATTACTGCAACTTTCGCCGCTTGAATATTCACCAGTTGCAGCTGGCAGTGTGAATTTCACATACCTTCCCTTTTCCCAGCCGTTCCTGATGCGCCGCAGTCTTTGGTGGATGCAGGGCAAGTGAAAGAATATTTTTGCTAAGATCACGGTACATGGCACCAGTAGTGTGAGGGTGTAACTTGGCGGCAGATAGAATTTGTATTGGTTTTCATCAAAGGCCCTGGTCCAGCCAAAGGTGAGGGTGTGGATCGTGCTGACTAGTAGGGCAGTAAATCCAAGGGTGGACTAAAAGGAAAAGAAACCCACCATTAACTGAGATGCCATATGTCTCACAGGAGAAACACTTAGTGTAAATAGTGATAGAAATGTAGCCGTGTTAGTCTGGTGTAGCTGAAACAAAAAACAGGACAATGTAGCACTTTAAAGACTAACAAGATGGTTTATTAGATGATGAGCTTTCGTGGGCCAGACCCACTTCCTCAGATCAAATAGTGGAAGAAAATTGTCCCAACCATATATACCTATAGCCCCGATTAAAAAAGAACAGGATACTACACTCCGAGAGGCTATGGGAGACAGACCCATGGTCTCCTATAGACAACTACCTAACCTCAAGATGATTCTTACCAACAACCACAGGACATACCACACTAACACCAACCCTGGTACCTTCCCTTGCAACAAACCCCGTTGCCAGCTTTGTCCACATAGTCACTCTGCTGATACCATTATTGGACCTAACCAAGTGAGTTATAAGATCAAGAACACATATTCCTGCGCATCCAGAAATATAATTTATGCCATCATGTGCTGAAAGTGTCCGTCTGCTATGTACATTGGACAAACGTCTCAGACACTTCGCCAAAGAATCATTGCCCACAAAACAGATATTAGACGGGATCACAAAGAAAAAACAGTTTCTTGCCATTTCAACCAGAAAGGACATTGTCTCAATGACTTGATTACCTGCATCCTGCTTCAAAGACCTTTTAAGACTACACTTTAAAGAGAATCCTCTGAACTGTCATTCATGCTTAAATTCGACACTTTACACCTAAGCTTAAACAAAGACATCAATTATCTTACCCATTACAAAGATAGCTTCCCCAATTATCACCTCTAATATCATTAGCTCACAGACATTTACCTTCTTCCCCCCACTCCCATCCCCCTTCTGTTCTGAAATTTGATTTGTCCTTTTCATATGTGTTCATTTTTTTAATTGTATCCTTTAGTATATATAGTTGTGACAATTTTCTTCCACTATTTGATCTGAGGAAGTGGGTCTGGCCCACGAAAGCTCATCACCTAATAAACCATCCTGTTAGTCTTTAAAGTGCTACATAGTCCTGTTTTTTGTTTTAGTGTAAATAAAGCACTGTGCACTTATATGGCACTTTGCTAGAGTAAGACACTGCCTACCTGAACAGCATAATAGCTAAGGCTTTGAAACCTGCTCCCACTGAACTGAATGGAGGTTTTGCCATTGGCATTGCTGTGTGCAGAACTGGGCTCTAGACAAGACAAGCATCTTCAAAGCATAGTGTAACCTTTAACCCCTTACAGCTGCCATCAGGCGCCCCCCATAGGTTGGCACCCCGGGCAGCTGCCCGGCTAGCCCATGCCTTAATCCGGCCCTGGTGCTACCTTCAAGTGAGTGACAGTGTACAGAGGTTGAGTGAACTGAAGCGGAAGCAAGTTGAGATAAATGGCAGCCTAGAGTGGTTTCCCTGGCCCCAAGTGGAGTTTGGGTAGGTTCCGTTGGTAGCTGCAAGCGGGGCAAATCCCAAGCATGTATTAAATAGCTCCTTTTGAAGACACCTGCACAGCCCGCAGTTGCTACAGGCCACTTATTTAGGAGTCTAAATATGGACTTTGGAGCTTAACTTTAGTCCCCCCTTGTCCTCTGAATCTTGATCTATGCCTCTTGTTATTCATAGCCAAGACACACTGCTATTGGGTGTCGGGGTGGAGTAAAGATCAAATCAGCTTATCTGTGAGTGGTAGGAGCCAGCTTTACCAGATTCCTCAAAAGTAACTTTAATAACAACAAAACAGACCAACTGTGCCTGTCCTGCGGTGTCATTAATGGGGCATTTTAAATGACTGCGAGGTGGAGAAAAAAGAAGCTCTATGGGGAGTGCTTCCTTGTAAGGGGTACGTAGATAGGTACTTAAAAGGGCCACGTCATTTGGAGCCCCTTACTGAGTTATGGATTTCATCCCTACATCACTCTTACAATTTCGGGAAATAGTATCCCCACCTTACAGATTAGGAATTTAATCGTGGTCCCACGGGAAGTCTATGGCAGAGCTAAGACTTGAGCAGGTGTTTGGTAAATGCCTGTGTAGCACCTTATCCCCTAGTTAGTGGTCTCCAACCTTTTTACACCCAAGATCACTTTTTAAGTCTCAGAACAGGCAAAGATCTACTGCCCCACCCCTTCCTTGAAGCCCCGCCTACATTACATGAGGAAATCTAATGTAAATGTACTGCGCAGGTGCGCAGTTCAGAGAGAGCTCAAGAGTTGTAGAAACCCTGAGATCTACTGGTAGATCATGATCTACTGGTTGGTGACCACGGCCCTAGATCATCCTTCAGACCAAGCCCAGCCTTTCTTCCTACTCAAACTCCTCAAGTTCCTAAGTGATAACAAGCCCCGCCCCACAACTAGGTAAGGAGAGGTGCATCTGATTTGGAGAATTAAGAATGATAACTAGCCCTGATTGCAGCTGAAAGATGCAGTGCTCGTAACAGCAGCAATCCAAGTCATCATGGCTCATACATCATTTATCTGCTGTTAGCTCTCACTGGCAGCAAAATCCCCAGGTGAAAAGTGGAAGGAAGTGCCAGCTTGTGACTAATCTTTCAGAGAAAAGATTTAAAATGGGGAGGAAAGAAACGTACAAAGTGGAGCAGTAACATTCTGCATTAGGAAAAGTCTTCTTTGGAGAGTTACTCCAAAGGGGTTTTCACATAAGGGATGGCACTTGAGGCCAAAGTTAATTATTTCCGCCACTCACTACAGGTTGTATTCTTAGAAGTTGTCATTCTGTCCCTGTAATCTCTCTAGGGAACGTGTTTACACAATAGCCTTATGTTGGAGTGTTCTGGCATGATCCTTCTGGGATGTATTTATGTAACTTCTGAGCACCCAGAACTGTAAGGCTACGTCTACACTGGCCCCTTTTCCGGGAGGGGCATGTAAATTTCACTAGTCGTCGTAGGGAAATCCGCGGGGGATTTAAATATCCCCCGCGGCATTTAAATAAAAATGTCCGCCGCTTTTTTCCGGCTTTTAAAAAAGCCGGAAAAGAGCGTCTAGACTGGCCCCGATCCTCCGGAAAAAGTGCCCTTTTCCGGAGGCTCTTATTCCTACTTCAAAGTAGGCGGCGGACATTTTTATTTAAATGCCGCGGGGGATATTTAAATCCCCCGCGGATTTCCCTACGACGACTAGTGAAATTTACATGCCCCTTCCGGAAAAGGGGCCAGTGTAGACGTAGCCGAGCAGAAGCAAAAGTTAGAACAAAAGAAGACAAAGGATCACACTGGATCCGTTAGTATTAAAAGAAAAAACAGCTGCCTTTAAATATCTTCGACTGTAATGGGAGCTGTATTGGGCCCTCTGTCCTCCTACAATGTGTGTCCTGTGTGCTACTGCCCTCTGCTAGCTGAAGTGTCAATGTGTGTGATCAGCACTGCGTAGTGGCTGAAACATGCACATAAGCTGAGACACCAAGTCATGCGAAGATACATCTACACAGCCACAAGAGACCTGTGAGAGTGAGTCTTAGAGCTCAGGTTGACCTGGACTTGCAGGGTTCATTCTGGGCTCTGAAACCCAGCAAGTGGAGTCTAACCTTCAGCCTGAGCCCGAATAGCTACATGTCTATTTTTAGCCCGGCAGTGCAAGAGTCGTGGGGCCAACTGCTATGATCCCAGCTCTGAGCCTTGCTGCCATGTCTGTTTGTTTTGCTGCACAGATATATCCCTCGAGGAGGCTCATTGAATGCACAAGGTTGAAAGTTTCACAGGTTACTGGCCTAATCGGATGAAGAAGCTGTCAAGCATCCTGAAAACACTTGTAATTAGTTTGCCAGTTTTCTAGCCCTCATACAATATTGGATTTAAGTTCTGTAATTCTTGCTCTCTTTTTCCGTTCAGTTTCTATCTAAGAAACTATCTGATTAACTGTACAGTTGGACTTCTCTGGTCGAGCATCCTCAGGACCTGACTGATCCCGAATGAGGGGCTTTACTGGTCCCTCCCCTAATGGCTTGTGCTGCCCTGCTGCCCCCAGGGTAGGGCTCCAGCCCAGCCCTCCTGCTGCCCCAGCCCTCCCTCCCGCTGGGGCTCTCCCATCTGGAGCTTCCCATCTGCAGACCTGTTCTGGCCCCAGTAGTCGTGGAGCTCCAGTCCCAGCTGCAGCTAGTGAGTTTTGGTCCTTACTGCAGAGCCAGGCAGCTGCAGAGCTCTGGCCCCAGTAGCAGCTGGAGCCCAGGCCAGAACTCCCTGCCATGCCACCTTCTGACACAGGACTCCTGGCTGAGTCACCGGTTCCCCCCCCCACCGCCACATCACCAGACTTCCCAGTTCCTGGGTTGTGTGGTCCCGGAACATCTGTGGTCTGTTGCCAAACTAAAGAGTCCCAGTTTAGGGAGGTACAAGCAGTACAATTTTGTATGCTGTTACCGTATAGGTTTATTGCTTCTACCCATGCAGGATTCCATTAATTCAGCATGTGTAGAAGTACTCTCTGCCTCCCCCAGGTCTTCCATTGTAGATTGGTCCTTATACCAGCCTCATAACAATAATATCTGGGGGTATGTCTACACGGACTAGCTAGTTCGGATTAGGCTTCCACGAGGCGTACAGCTAGTTCGGATTAGAAGCCTAATCCGAACTAGCTAGTCCGTGCCGCGTGTAGCCGTGCAGCACGGAGTCCGAACTAGCCGGCATTTAAAAATGGCGCCGGCCGGCTCCATGCAAATGAAGCCTGGGAAATTCAAATCCCGGGCTTCATTTGCAACTGCGGATGACTACATTACCCCCGCTAGTTCGAACTAGCGGGGTACTGTAGACATACCCTGACAGCCTTCCAGTAATGAGTACAAGAGGGTTAGTCGTGTTAGTCTGAATATGCAAGAACAACGAGAAGTCCTGTGGCACCTTATAGACTAACAGAGATATTGGAGCATAAGCTTTTGTGGGCAAAGACCCACTTCGTCAGATGCATGTAGTAGAAAAAATTTTCTACTACATGCATCTGACGAAGTGGGTCT